CAAAACAGAAGCCCTGGAAGGAGGGGAGCGGCCGGGGGCCGGCTTTCTGCGTGACGGCCACAGGCTGAGGGAGAACACAGCCGCTGCGGGGCCCAGGCTGCCACTCGGGTGTCCCCGCCGCCTCCTTGCCGTGCACACAACGGTCCATTCTTCTCCAGAGCCCATGAAAGTGACCCAGCCAGCAGCACGGGCGGCGGCCCTGGCCCTCCCTCACCTGTTACCTCACACGCTTCCACTGTTGACACACACCTACGTGATCAACTCATGAAACACCTTAGCCCTTCTCAGAATAAATACCATAAATAAAACGAATAAAAGTCACCCTTCGCCTCATTGTAAACGCATTTAACTTCGCTTCTGAGGGTGAAGTGGCCCAAACCCGAGGACGGGGGACGGGGCAGGGCTGACCTGGCCGAGCTGGTAGCTCATGCTGCCCAGCTCCCGCTCGGGGTTGGTCTGCAGCAGCAGCTTGTCGTGGCTGATGAGGGCACCTGCGGGCGACAGGACGTCAGAGCTGCCTGGCAGTGCCGCCGAGCCTGGCAAGGCACAGCCTGGGAAGTTCTGTCCCTTCATAGCAGGCAGCTGGCAGGGCCCATCTCTCCCGGAGGCCCTGGCTCTGGCTCCACAGCCCGAGCCTGCAGCTGTGGAGGAGGCAGCAGCCCGCAAGGGGCCTGGGGCCCAGAGGACAGCACAACCAAGCCCACCGGGGGCAGGGTGCGGGCGGTGCCCCCTCTCAGCCTCAGGGTCTTCTCCACACCCCTCCCAGCTTCCCTCCCTCAGGCCCGGGCCCCCTGACCCGGCTCCCTCTGAGACCTCCCTGCCCCGAAGCAGTGCTCCGCGCATGCCTGCAGCGGCCGCTCCTGGGACAGCGCTGCCGCGACTCCTCTGCCCTGCGGGCCGAGACTCCCAAGGACCAGTCCACACTCAGCTGACTCTTGCCGGATGTCTGAGGGCGCAGGCACAGGGCACTGCACACGGAGCCCGCAGCAAAGGCTGAGGACTGCGCCCTGGAGGACCTACCGCCTCCACAGCCCAGGGATCAGAGACTAGCCCAGAACCCGGGGCCTCCGACAGCAGAAAGTGCGCATGAGAGAAACCCTCAGCGCGGCCGGCGTGTCGACCTGTGAGCCAGGTTACCACTTTGGTTCCTGCCAGGGCACGTGCCCGGGTTACAGGCTAGACCCCCAGCGCGGGGCATGCGGAAGGCAGCTGATGGATGTTCCTCTCTCATCACTGGGGTCTCTCTCTCCCTCTCCCTTCCTCTCCGAAGTCAATAAAAACATATTTAAAAGCAAAGAAACACCCACAACGTTCCCTTCTCTTGAGCATTTGCTTCCCGGTTTTATTCCCTCAAGACAGTTAAAGCTGCCAGTCCTGAGGGCGCCCGGCACTGCCATGGGTCAGGGCAGCACACGCAGCCACAGCCTCTGGCTGCCCCCCGCTGCCGCCAGTGTGCTGGCCACTGCACGCTCCGGCCCAGGGACAAGCGGCCCCTCCCGACAGGCACCTGTGGTGGCTGGAGACAGAGAGGGGACGGGGTCCCACGCCTGGTAGAGGTGATGGGTGGCGATGTTCTCCCTCTTCGACACCATTGCTTGAATTTCCTGCTCTACAATTCCTCGGATCACGCTCAGCTTCCGCCCAAACCTAGAATCCAGGACAAAGGTTCAACTTTCAGTTCCTTTAACATTTTAGACGTGAGAGACGCCAGGACCCGCTCCCAGCTCTGCCTAAAAGAGGCACCCACAGCAGCCCAGCACAGCCTCTGCGGGCGGCGCCTGCTGAGCCCGGCAGACCCTGCTGGCCGGCCAGTTCCTGCTCTGCCAGCCCGAGGCCCGCCACCTCAGGCCGTGTCCACTGCGGCCGTCCAGTCACTTTAGCAGTGCGCCTCTTGCAGTAACACGCACGGTGCTTTGCTTTTTAGTTTCAGTAACAAACGAAAGGGCGGGTGAGCTGCTGGCCCCGGGTGGGGTGGGAGGAGCGTGCCTCTAGGCCCCTCCACGCTGTGCCCTGGACACGGCAACACGGCAAACCTGGTGTCGAGTGCTTTCAGGGGCTTGTTCCGGGGCTGCTGCTCCAAGCAGCTGAGGGCGGGGTTGCCGGCCACGGGCACGGCCATCGCGCTCAGCACCAGGGAGGTGATGGCCTGCACAGCCAGGACGTTGATCTGGGTCCTCTCCGTGTCTTCCTGGAAGGAGCCACATGGGGTCACGTCACCAGCAGCCAGGCCCCAGCACCACCTGTGCCCACCTGCACACAGACCACGTGGCCACGCCCTCCCCGCCAGGTCCCGACCTGTCTGCCCGCACCCACCACAGCCCCCACACCGGTCACTGGAAACCACCGAATGGGCAAACGCCCACTGTGCAAAGCAAGGTCTCCCACAGGCATCACTAACTCGAGAACTTGGCACATGACCACCCGCCAGCTTCGACGCGTGGGCCCGCAGGCCGTGCACGCGGCTCTGACACCCACCACTGAACTGTCCCTTCGCAGTCAGGCCACCCTCCTGCCAGAACAGGGCTAGGGCCCATGACGTTCACTCTCCCAGGCTTTGCCTTCTGAATGTGGCTTTGCCTAATATTGTCCCGGCACATGGCCCGCCCCAGCCGCCTGGGAGCGTCTCTGGGCGAGCAGAGGCACCTCGGCCCGGCCTCCTCAGGTGCCCTTTCCTTCTGACCGAACTACGTGCCGAGTCGGGAATTACTGACCCCAGTGCCTAACGCACTGGGCTCCGGCGCCCACGGGCGGCCAGGTAGCTCCCCGGCCGCGGGAGAGCCGCTCTGCTCCGAGCGTTACACAACCTGCTACTCTTACAAGTAAGGTGACACGGGAAAGCGCGCTGGCTGGCCCTCCTCTGCCGGCTGCCAGCGGCGGGCGCCCAGGCTGCGGGCGGCTTACCTCCGGAGGGCTCTCCTCCTGCTCCAGCACGAGGGGCTGGGTCACCAGGACGCCCAGGAGGGTGGCCCACGTTTCCTCGAACTGAGTGCGGCTGGTCCACCCTACGAGGCAAACGTCACATGAGGCAGAGTGTCACCCGCTCCCTCAACGTTCCGACGTGAGGCGCCAGCTGGGCCGCCAGCTCCGACCGGAGCGGGCAGTGCCCTGGCCACGTCCAGCAGCTGCCTCAGCCCTCGGCAGGTCTGCAATGCAGAACACTGCGGCGCCCGCCCTCCAGCGCGGACACCAAGCACACATGTCCGAGTGCTGCCCTGGCAGTGGGGTGTGTGTGTGTGTGTCCATCTGGAGCCCTCCTGACCCCGCCTGGCAGGTGTGGCCAAGTGGAAAGGGCCAGGAAGTCCCGCCTTGGACTGAGCTCCTGGATGCACCGGGCACAACCATGGCCGGGACCAGCCCCAGTGGTCAGCGTGCGCTGCGTGAGCCCCGCCCAACTCGGCTTCTCACAGGAGGCAGAGCTCGGTGTTCCCGACTGGCCAGGCCGTGGTCAGCAAACTGCGGCTCGCGAGCCACATGTGGCTCTTTGGCCCCTTGAGTGTGCCTCTTCCTAAGCCTTAGGAGGACCCTAACTAAGTTAATAACAATGTACCTACCTATATAGCTTAAGTTTAAAAAACTTGGCTCTCAAAAGAAATTTCAATTGTACTGTTGATATTTGGCTCTGATGACTAATGAGTTTGCCGACCGCTGGTCTAGAGGGTCTAAAAGGAACGCAGTCTGGCCAGGGCACGCTCCTCCTCAGTGAGGGCATCGCACCATGTGCTCCGCGTCCCTCTCGTCACCTGCTGGGGCTGCAGTGACAGGATCTCCTCGCTAAGATGGACGGAGGGAGGGAGACTGACTGAGATGAGCGTTAGACACCCACACTTGGGTACAAAGACGGCAGACATATATGGGCATTTCCATAGGGAAGAGGAAAGCTCGGATCACGTGGAGAAGAGAGAGCGAGAGCGAGAACAGGTGCCAGGACAAGGTCGTAGGACTGCACCTGTAGTCCTGACTGACAGGCAAACACAGGGCAGCCCAGGAAGGGGGAGCTGGCATAGGCTGGGAGGCCATGGCTGCCTGACAGCCACCTCTGAGGGCAGGGAGGGAACCTGCCCAGGCGGCCGCCTCCATGCTACTCAGATCTCATGTCGGCCTCGTTCTCGGGACTCCGGGGGATGCAGGCCAACAAAGTGTCTGCTGCCTGAACCTTCAGGACCAAAGCCAGTGCCACGTCTGCAGAAGCCCGAGGCAGGAGGCTCCGCAGGGACGAAGGGTGGGGCTGCCCGGGCCCATGGGTGCCACGCCGGACTCCCGAGACACTGGAGCTCCGCGCAGGGCACTGCCCCTCAGGACCGCCCTTTCGACCCCGAGCAGATCACACCTGCACCATCAAATGGAGACAGAAGCGGCCATGGCCACGGCCACGGCGCTGCAGAGCGGGAGGCCTGAGGGAAGCGGTCGCTGTGCCGCGGGCAGCGCGCAGGGCGGCTGAGAAGGCTGTAGGCAGCAGAGCCTACTCAATCCCAAGGACCGAGCTGGGCCTGGGCTGGACGGCCTGCCCACAGAGCCCGGCTCTCCTCTGACGTCTGTTTCCTCTGCATCGGCCACGGTGGCTCCCGCACACCCTGCCCGTCCCGCACACGAGGTGGCATCAGTGACCACAAGGCACAGGGACAGTCCCCGTCCCTGCTGGCGGGGTGCCTCCTGCGGGAGTCGGATTCAGCTCCCATCACCAACTACCAGGCACCGACCCGACTTCAGACACGCTGACACACGGAAACCTGGGATTGAACGCTCACGCAGACACGTGTGGAAGTTCTCAGGGTGAGTGTGTGTGCACTCAGAACGCCTGTCCGCGAGCGGGCGTGCCCAGACCTTCCACGGGACGAAGAGGTGCAGAGCGCACTCCGGGACGGGGACCCGAGGCTGGCACCCTGCACGGTCGCGAGGAGCCCGCCTACCCAGTGTGTTGATGCGGTAGATGAACTCTTTGAAGACTTCCTTCTCCTGGAGGAACTCCACGGGGATCTCGGGGAAGGCTGTGCCGAAATCCCCTCCCGGCGTGGGTGACCACCCGAGCTTCCAGACCTGAGAGGGTGGAAGAAGTCAGTGAGCTCCAGCCTCCAGGCCCCAGCCGCCCTCCCCTCCTCGGCCCAGCACGGCCAGGAGCGAAAGGGCCGCTCGAGCTCACCCAGGGACGAGCTCACCCAGGCACGAGCTCACCCAGGGACAGCTCACCCAGTACGAGCTCACCCAGGCACGAGCTCACCCAGGGACGAGCTCACCCAGGACGAGCTCACCCAGGCACGAGCTCACCCAGGACGAGCTCACCCAGGCACGAGCTCACCCAGGGACAGCTCACCCAGGACGAGCTCACCCAGGGCCCAGCTCACCCAGGGCTGTGGCAGTGCTAAGGATGTCTGACAGCTGGCTTAGGCCCACTCCCTGTGAAGAGCAGGCCCGAGCCATCAGTCAGACATCCCCAAAGGGCTCCTGGACTGTGAGGGCGCAGGCCGGGCTGAAGGATCCCCCCGCTTTCCCCTGCCAAGTGCAGGAATTTCGTGCACCGGGCCTCTAGTATTATATAAATAGAATCCTACTAAGCAATAAAACAATAAATAATCACCCAGGGACGAGCTCACCCAGGACGAGCTCACCAGGGGCGGGTCTAGCTCCCTGTGCCTCACGCAGAAAGGCCAGCGTTGCTGCAACTCCAGCTGCGCGCCAGGCAGAGGGAACCAGGCAGGGTCAGGACTCCCCGCGGCACTGGGCCACCCAAGGCGGCAGCCGAGCTGGCCCAACTGGGTCACCGGAACACCCGCCAGGGCCAGTCTGCAGACTCACCAGGGGGGGGATGCGCGTGTAGCTGTTGACGAGGGGCAAGCGGGCCAGGCTGACCACGATGTTCCTGAGCACGGACGTGAGGAACGCGGGCATGTGGCTGTTCCTCTTATGCCCCAAGGCCAGCACGGACGGCAAGGCCTCCACCAGCTCTGCCACCGTCCTGCAGGCTGCAGTCACATGCTCGGGGCCTGAGCCAACGGGAGAGAAGATGGACACCCCCAAACCTCCTGATCTTCCTGCCTCCCAGGGAGAAGGCGCCCCCCAGGCCTCTAGCTGGCCCCTGGGGACCTACAGACTGCAGCTCGGGCTCATCTACCCGTGTGGGCCTGGTCTCCTGCCTCGGACCCTGCCCCGCCCCGCCCGCCCCACACTGCCTGCCGCTGCTGGCAGCATCCAGCCTGACCGCAGTGTAGGGCCGGGTGGCCTGGGTCCTGGAGGCCCTGGTGACAAGAAGCCCCAGTCCAGAGCCCTCCCGCCCTGCCCTGCACCACGCTCCGGGGAAGACACCGCGTCAAGAGGAAGGATGTGAAGAACCGGGGCATGTGCCTGAGTCTAGAGCTGGGCTAAGTGAATGGGATGTGGACTCCTTGTTTCTGTAGGAAGAGCAGGAATTTCCATTTAAAAATCCACCGAGATAGATGGCTCAGTACACTCAGCTAGCTAACGTTCAGGAGGGCACGTCCACTGGCTGCAAGCTCCTTAGCATTCCTACTCACTCATTCCTCCCTCCAACGGCATCTGATGGGCAAGTACAGCAGTGAGGGCACAGAAGGGAAACATGCTCCCTGCCCCCATGGGGCCAGAGTCTGAGGTGAGAGACATAAGTGCATAGAGAACGTAGTGCCAGGATGGAGGGCGGGTGGAGAAGAGGATGGAGGAGGGGAGGAAGGAGAGGATGGAGGGAGGGGAGGAAGGAGAGGATGGATGGAGGGGAGGAAGGAGAGGATGGGGGGAGGGCGAGTCCCAGCATCTCCT